TTATTTTGAGAGCTTTTTGAGCAGTAGGAAGATGTTCATAGTTTGGCACAAGAGGGACAGACAAAAGATCACCTGAGACGTGCCACCAAGGCACATGGAGGGCCTGTGCAGAGTCCAAGAAAGATAGGAGCACTTATTACAGGACAGCGCAGCATTTCAGAGCCAGTGGAGATGGAAAGGACACATGCACAAGGGACAGCTCAGCTCAGTATACTGGAGCCCAGAAGAGATAGAGAAGCTACTTGCAGTTTAGAGTTGGCACATTGTCATGCAGTACTTGGCCAGGCAGGGTACAGAGTATAACCTCACAGGCTACAGTTAGACAGAGAATGACACCTAGGATACAGCAAGGCACCAAAATGGGTGTCATAGAGACTAAGATACCTGTGTTAGATGCAAGGGCGCTAGTAAGGGTGATAGGACACACACACACAGGATTGAGAAATAAATATGATAAAGACAACTGAAGACACATTTCTCCCTTCCTCCCCTCCAGTGTGGGACATAGAACCTAAGGCCTTGCACATCCTGAGCAATTGCTCTGCCATTGAGTTATAGTCTACAGCCTGGGAGACTAGTCTCTAAGTGGTCAGAGATTTAAAAAGGGAGAAAATTATGAACTGGTCATGCTGCTATAAACATGGGGGTTTTCAATATATATGGATATAGAGGTCACCAGAGCTAGAAATGTGTGAAGTTGCTTCTGGCTTGTGCACTGAGAGCACCTGTGAGTAGTGACATTGAGCGTCTACCATATAGATCTGGATTTCTAAATAAAGTTCTTCAATAAAAGGCACCTCCCAGAAATTATTTCTTTTAGAGCTGAGATGGGCACATACAAGGCAAGCCAAGATGATATACCAGGAAGTGAGAATATGCTGTAAGAAAAAAAAGTCATATCAAAAGTACAGAACACAGTATGAAAAGTCCATTACTAACCAAATCTAGAGAGAGTGGTGTGAGCATCAAACTAGATCATAGCAACAGAGTCTAACTGGTGAAAACCAGAACCTACAACTCCAGATTGATAGAAATAGTAAATTAAAAGATGAAAATAGAGTATTTAGGCAGTTTCAAAGTATCAGTCCTTCCTTTCAAGAGATAAAATAAAAAAGAGCCAGTGTGGCATGGAGCCATGGAAAGGAACTCAGGTCTGTGAGTGTAACGTTCGGGTGGATTTCACCGAGCTAGGTCAGGCAGTCAGATACCAATTTCAAAATGCCAGGGTGTTCCAGGACAAACTCAGGTTCAGCTCATTTCATATCCTTTAGTGATGCTGAGTCTCCACTCTGCTCCCCCCAAAAATGTCCCGCCATGACTCAGCTCCAGAATAGACACTTTTCTAGTGTTGCTTTCGACCTTGTGGAGACCCTGGGTGAAGTAACATTGAGGAAAATATGGACGAGGACATGGTTGAAAGTGTTGAAACGGATCTTAAACTAAATACCTACATTAAGGTTGTCCAGTCTATAATACATTATGTCAAAGAAGAAAAGTTTTTTTCCTCAGTATATGTTTTTATTTAAATTAGAAACATGAATGCTTCACGTGTCAATCCCAGCTCCCTCTCCCACCCCTCATCCCTTGTCCCTTCACCAGCCCCCCACCCCCCCACCCCAGTCCCCACATCATTCCCCAGGGAGGGTGAGGCCCTCCGTGGGGGGAATCTCCAAAGTCTGTCATTTCATCCAGGGCAGGACCTAGGCCCTTACCCATGTATCCAGGCTGAGAGAGCATCCCTCCATGTGGAATGGGCTCCCAAAGTTCATTCATAAGCCATGGTAAACACTGACCTACTACCCAAGGCCCCAGTGATTTCTGTGGCCTCCTCACTGAGACTATATCTCATGGAGTCTGGATCAGTTCCCTGTTGGCCTCTCAGGCATCAGACTGGGATTCAAGAGCTCCCCCTTATCCGGTCAGCTGTATTTGTGGGTTTCACCATAATAGTCTTGACCCCTTTGTTCATCACTCCTCCATCTCTGTCACTAGGTTCCATGAGTTCAGTTCAGTGTTTATCTGTGGGTATCTGTCTCTGCTTTCATCAGTCACTGGATGAAGGTTCTAGAATGGAATATAAGGTAGTCATCAACCCTACCATCAAGGAGGGGCAATTAATGTAGTCTCTCCACTATTGCTTAGTTTGCCAGTTGGTGCTATCATTGTAGATCTCTGGAGATCTCACTAGTGTCAGCTCTCTCCTCAAGCCTATAATGACTCAATCTATTATGGTATCTCTCATCCTGCTCTCCTCTATTCTTACCTCGACTCAACCTTCTTGCTCCCCCATACCTTCTTCTTCCCTCCTCTCCTCATCCTCTCTTTTTCCTGGCTCCCTCTCCCTTCCTCCATGTTCCCAATTTGCTCAGGAGATCATGCCTCATTCCACTTCTCTGGGGTATTGTCACAGCTACACAAAACCAACTAAGACAATTCTCTATAGAAGCCATTGCTCAGGTCCTGAAATTCTCAGCGGGCAAGCTCTGATTTCAGTTCTTCACCTATACCATTTCCAAGCTCTTTAATATGTGGAATGTGACGCTAATTGTAGACAGCAGAGTAAGAGAATACAATGTATCCAGTTGAGGGTAAAACACATGGTTCTTGCCTTTCCCTTTTAAGTTATTGCCATGGATGCAGAAAAACCAAGAGCCATGATATTATAGGGTAAATTGGAAGGAATTAGGTCACTGGAAGATTGTGGGAAGAATGTAAGTTCTTCAGATGACACCCCATATTTCAAGAAGACAGAAGCAGCAAGAGTAAGTTCTGGTCATGGAAATTCAAGCAAAAAACCCAGATAGAACATGAAAAAAGGAAAGAGGACACAGTGACCAGCCACCAAGCTACACAGCCATGGAGTAAGAAGAAAAGACACACAGAAATGGAGGAAGGTAAAAACCCAGAGGCAAAAGGTAGATGGGATGATTGAAGTCAAGAAAAAAAGCTGGTTGGAGATGAGATAAGAGAGATGAGATAAGACCAGGCATTCATAAGAGTAAGTATATTTGTGGTTATTTGGGAACAAACAAACAAAAAACCACCTACATTTGAGCTCTTTATAAACCCAATAATAAGGTGCCTTAGGCAGTCAAGGAAAGACAGAGATACATCTTCGCAGTATATGATCAATTATCTGGAAACCAGGGACAGAGACAGAGACCATATGGAATGCTGTTTACCAGCTTGGCCCCAGTGGCTTATTCAGATTCCTGTTTCACCTTTTAAACAAATCTTTTAATTTATCTTATTTTCCCTAACAGCACTTAATAAAATTGGATGAAAGCTGTACAATTAAGTGGCATGAGCTGAACTCAAGAAAGCCAATAACAGAGAGGGAGGACTGATGATCAAAGGGATTAAGACTGGGCTGGTTTAACCCCCAGAAACAGCTCACCTGACAAAGGTTAACTCTTGAATCCCAGGCATCAGCCTGGGAATCCAGCATGGGACTGATCAAGACCCCCTGAATGTGGGTGTCAGTGAGGAGGGTTAGGTAATCTATTGAGCCTTGGGCAGTAGATCAGTACTCATCCCAAGTACACACACGGACTTTGGACTCCCATCCAACAATGTGAGATGCACTCTCACCCTGAACTCTTGGGGGAGGGTCTAGGCCCTGCCCTGGATGAAATGACAGACTATGGACACCCCCATGGAGGGCCTCACCCTCCCTGGGGAAATGAGGAGATAATGGGGGATAGGGGGGAGGGTACGGGAAGAGGGCAGGGAAAGGGAGAGGGACCTGGAACTGACTTGTGGAGCAACCTTGTTTCTAATCTAAATTTAAACTGAAAAAAAAAAAGTGGCATGTACCTACACTACCTTTTATAAAAGATTATTTTATGTTAATGGGTTTAGTAGAAATATATTATATTTTACAATGGTATCTTCCCTAAAGTTTCTTCCAGCTACCCTTATAAAACTCCTTATAAAAACAATATCAAACTCATCCATACTTTGTTTCTTTGATTGATTGATACATATGTGTATTCACAAAAACATATAATTACAATGAGCTGGGTCCATTTTGATTATTTGTGTACAGTAATTTCAAGGATGGCTACACTTCAGGAGAAAACTGATAAGTGGATTACCCAGCAGGAGACGTTAATTGTGCTTTTCCCAATAATTATTACCTAACTATAGTTCCTGGTGAAAGTGACCCCATGAAAATTTCCCTCTTACACATTAACATGTTCATGGATATTGTCATTGTGCTGGTCTTTGCTGTGTAGCTGTTTCTGACAGACTCTCACAGCAAACTTCCCACCAGTCTAACTTTTACAATATCTTCCCCCATTCTTTCATGATGTTCCCTTGTAATTGTTCCGTGATCCTACGAGAAGCAGCTGTGAGAACACCACATGACTTGTAAATCTCTGTGTTGAGATAAGTCATGGTTCTATGTGGTAGTCTACATTTGGTATAAAGAAAACCTATTTAGGAGAGACAGAAGGCATACAAATAGAGGAAAGTTGGCGATCATAAAAACCACAAACAAATTACTTTCTTAATTCCATATTTCATTATCAAATTCATAATTTACTTTCAATGACAATAAAATATCAGTCTAATAAATTCCCCCAATTATGCCATATTATTTCTACCCAACAGACCCTCTACTCACAAAAGGTAAGTGTACTTGAACTTCTGCACATGGCAAGAAAAGATCTCGTGACATTAGAGTTTGTCGTCATCGGCCCCTGAAATATGGCTGCTACCCAGCTACAGGAGCATGCAACTCAAGGAGAAACCCCTTGGAGGGACACCTGTAAGCACATGAGCCTGGCGGTCAGGACCCCAGCCAATGGCAGCCAGCCACAGCTATGCGGACTTGTAGCACCACTCCCAGGCATTCAGCTGGACTCAGTCAAGGCCGGGGCTTTTATCTCCCTTTCTCCAGGATGGTCTGTCTCCAGGTAGCCTCTCCCATGTAGACATTCCCCTGGGCCTAGGCATGCAGAGTGGACGTCATAATCACGATTCAGACAATGAAATCAAACATGAACAATTTATTAAAACTAATACAGTGATTAAAGTAACACAACATTGAAAAAGAACGAGAATAATAAAAGGCTACTATCCAGGGGAGGGTGAGTCTGGCTGTGGGGCTGGCAATGCTGCCGGGTTGATATCGGGGAGTCATTGTGTCGGGAACAGATGAATCTGTGCAGTCTGCAGAGAGGATTCTTGTGGACAACCAGAGGAGAAGGGGTGGAAGGGCGATTCCCTGGGGAGGCAGAACACTGCGGCCCAAGCAAGATGTTGAAAGTGGCACTGTGTCTGCCCTCACGGCCATGGATATAACATCCACAGCTTCAAACACTTGTGATGTAACAAACGTAGCTGTTGCCACAACTGGCTCCAGCTGCACACTTGTCACAGGACGTTGTGCTGGTTGTGTGCTCTCCGGCTCCAGTGCACAGGCTGCTGCTGTCTGCAGAATAGCCGTCCTCATTGCTGGTCAACAGATTTGGAGCGCTGCATGTGGGGATGCTCGGCTCTCCAGATCTAAGGTTGGAGACAGATGTGCGGCTGATGCAGGCATCTCTAGAAGGGGAAGAGGCCGTGGAGCTACAGGAGGAGACAACATGCCTAGAATCAGACTTCCAAAACAGAGGAGACCATGTCTCTCCGGAGTCCCGTTCCTATTGAACAAAACAGCTTGTGTCTGAGCTAGGGTCCAGCAATAGCTCCTGCATAGAGGAAACTCTCAAGCATCCCTAGAGCACCCCAGGTCCTGAACCCTGCTCCCAGGCTCTCAAGCACCTACCCTGAGGCTTCCTCATTGCTGGACCCTGAATCTCTGGCCACTTGTGACTGCAACTTTTCCTGCATATAGTGGACACGGATCAGAAGGTCTGAGTAGGGCATGTTCACAATTAAGTAGTTCTTCACCCGAGTCAGAATGGGCAAGTGTTCAATCTTGCAAAAATCCTGAGGGAACTTGTGGATCCAGTAGTCCAGGAGGGAACAGATGGTGCTGGCAGAAAGGGACAGACAGCACAGTCAGTGACCTTGTCTTTCCTTTGTCAACCCACCCTGGGATCTCTCCATGGGTGTGACACCTCAAGGTGGAGCAGATCCAGCCCTTGTGAGATCTGTGTGAACAGGGAGCTGCACACACCCCTTTCACGGGCTCTGATAGAGCAGAGCAGTCCCAGCCTGCATGCCATGGGTCAAGATGAGAGTAGAGTCTCCCATGGGCACTGGAGGACACAGGCATCTCCAACATCCCCACTTGCAAGGAACCTGCCCAAAGGTTCTCCTCACCCTGCAGGCAATGCTTAGCGCTCACTATGTTAGTAGAGACCAGGGGGTGAGACCCAACCATCGGCCATCCCTTGCACTTAGACCCCAAATGAGCCGGTTCTCCAGAGCCTAGGCAGCACTTGTCAGGTTACAAAGCCATCTTACTTCTTTACTTGTTCATCCTCGTCACAGTCGGGGCGGAATGACGTGTATCTAAGGAGAACAGGAAGGATAATGTCACCTGGAGAGCCCCAGGACACTACCTAAAAAAATTCTTTGGGGACCCTCAGATTGCTGGAGAGGAATCAACGTCCAGAGCCTAGACGTTCTATCTGCTCTAAGAATGACTAGTTCCCATGCATACGAGAAGGTGCTTCACATATGTTTGTGCAGTGGGTGGGTGATCACAGACATCTCTATACAGACACCTCAGCAGACACAGGGTCTCTACCTCGCATTACCAACCATGGCTCTCCACTCTGGACACAGCTTGCTTTGCTATGCCAAAATGGAGTCCAGGACACGTTTCACAATGGGAGAAATGCTTTGACCATGGCCTCAAAAAATTGGGTAAAGGATACAGACCTTCTAGAAAGTTCAAGGACACCCACACTCATTAGGCTCTCAGCTCCGGACAGGAAAGTCACTAGGGCAAAGCTTGCAGGAAGCGTTTTCTGACTTCACATTGTTGGGTCCCGACAGGACCCTAGAAATTCAGAGCTCTTCTCAGACCCAACAACAGGATCTGAGGCCTCTGAGCTCAGAGGTGGGCACTCACCGAGTGAACAGTAGGTCCAGCACCTCCTGGGTGGTGAGAAGCCTTTCTTGAATGTAGAGGAAGACAAGGGCAAAGAAGGAGTCTCCACCCTGGATAGCCATCACCAGGAAAGACATCATCTCTTCCAGAGGACCGTAGACGGGGGTGCTAGGGGACTCGTTCAGGACCTCAGGTGCAGACTCCTGTCCAACCTGAGGAGAGATCAAGGTGGATGGTTCAGACAGGTACTGGAATGTGACCTGACTTGCTCTCACCGTTCCAACTCTTCCTGAACCTCCTCACTGCCAAAGACCCAGAATGAAACTGAGGGAAATTCTGAGATGTCACAGTGCTCACCTGGTCTGTGTTGTCCTGGTCCTGGTTGCCCTCATTGTCCTTGCTTCCCGGGTTTCCCAGGGCTCCCTGGTTTCCATTGCCTTCCTGGCTACCCTGGCTGTCATGAATGCCCTGGTTGCCCTGGCTTCCCCGGCTTCCATGGCTCCCCAGGCTTCCTTGGCTTTCCAGGCTGCCCTGGCTTCCCAGGCTGCCCTGGCTTCCCAGGCTGCCCTGGTTTCCATTGCCTTCCTGGCTACCCTGGATGTCCTGAATGCCCTGGTTGCCCTGGCTTCCCTGGCTTCCCAGGCTTTCCTGGTAATCCTGGCTTCCCTGATTTCCACGGCTTTCTTGGCTACCCTGGCTATCCTGGCTCAAGTTTGTTTCTCTCCGTCCAAATGGCCAGATGCCTTGGAACCAGGAGCGTGCCCGGAGTCTCCATGCACCACCACGGACTCCACCTCGGCGTCTACTTTCATCGTTATTGAGGTCTGAGCCTCTTTCTCTAGTATTCCCGAGACAGGATGAAAACATTGTGGTTTCTCTCGTGTCTCAAGACAAGTGAGCCTGCCAGGCAGTCTCTCAGCAGTTGGCTAGCTGCTTGCAGGGTTCTGCATTGTTGGGTCATCACTAAGAGTGTGAGGTCACTCCTGGGGTTCCCTGCCTGACTCTCCTCCTCACATGGGGCTCATCCTAGAGTCCCCCAGGGCCCCTCCCTCCTCCCAGCTGCACTACTCCACATCCGTATAAACATGCTTCCCGATCCACGGCCCCCAGGGATGTCTGGGAACAGGCAGCACCTCAGCTTTGCCATCTGAATTCCTACCATTGACCTGCATCTGTTACCCTAATCCTCAACTCACCCCTAATTGCCCTCGCACACCATAAACCCTAGCCATGTGGCCTTGAGTCCTCCTTACTAGTGTGTGTGTTTTGTGTTATATATGAGCACCAACCATCTCTGTGTATTGGGACTCCACAAGGAACAACACGTTGGCACTTTTTTCTATTTAAATATGTACCACATTTTTTAATTGGAGTAGTTGGTATTTTGTTGTCTAGCTTCTTGAGTTTTTATTTTTTACTATATTTTGGAAACCAGCTCTCTGTCACGTGTGTAGTTGGTGAAGATCTTTTCCCATTCTCTAAGACATTTTTTGCTATTGATGTTGTCCTAAACCTTACATAAGCTTCTCAGTTTCCAGGGGTTGCATTAATTAACTGTCGATCTCAGTGATTGTGTTGCTGGTGCTATTCAGTATGTAGTCTTCTGTGCCAATGTGTTCAAGGCTACTTCACACTTTCTCTTTCATCAGGTTCAATTAACTGGATTCATGTTGGGGTCTTTCATCCACTTGGAGGAGTTTTTGTGCATGGTGGTAGACATGGATCTATTTACATTCTTCTACATGCCACCCTTCAGCTATGCCAGCATTATTTGTTGAAGATGCTTTCTATGTTTGATTGTGTACTTTGGTTTCTTTGTCAAAAATCAGGTGTTCATAAGTGTGTGGAATTATGCCAGAGTCTCCAATACCATTCAGATGATGCACATGTTTGTTTTTATGCCAGTATCATGCTGCTATCATTTGTATGGCGCTAAGGGGATACTTCCAGAAGTTCCTTTATTGTACAAGATTATTTTAGCTCTTCTGGGGCTATTATATTTCCAAATGGAGTTGAGTATACTTTCGATCTCTGGGAAGAATGGTGTTGGGATTTTGATGGGAATTGCACTGAATCTGTAGATTGCTTTTGGTAAGATGTTCATTTTTACTATACTGACCTTACCTAACCAACAGCATGGGAGATCTTTCCATTTCATGATATCTTCTTTGCATATCTTTATTCAAAGATTTAAATTTCTGGTCATACAGGCTTTTCACTTGTTTCGTTAGAGTTGCACCAAGATATACTATTTGTGCCTATTGTACAGGGCGTTGTTTCTCTGATATCTTTCTCGGTCCATTTATCATTTGTATATTGGAGGGCTCCCGATTTTCTGTTTGTGATTAATCTTGTACCCTGCCACATTACTGAATGTGTTTATCACATTTAGGAGTTCCCTGGTAGAATTTTTGGTGTCTCTTGTGTATACTATCATATCATCTGCAAATTGTGAAAGTTTTCTTCTTCCAGTCCAGGTAGTATCCCCTTGATCTCCTTTTGGGTCTTATTGTTCTAGGTTGAACTTTGAGTACTATATTGAATAGATATGGAGAGACTGGGCAGCCCTGACTTGCTCCTGCTTTTAGTAGAATCTCTTTGAGTTTCTCCTCATTTAATAGGCTGATGGCTTGCTATATATTGATTTATTATGTTTAGGCAAGTTTCTTGCATCCTTATTCACTCCAAGCCCTTCATCATGAATGGGGAATAGGGATCTTGTCAAAGGCTTTTTCAGCATCTAATGAGATTATCACTTTTTTTCCTCTCAGTTTGTTTATATGATGGATTATATTGACAGACACTTGTATGTTGAACCATCCCTGCAACTCTGGGATGAAGTCTATTTTATCATAGTCAATGGTTTTGGAATTTTGTCAGCTTTTAGTGACTAATTTTGCATCAATGTCCTTAGGCATATTTGTCTGTAATTCTGTTTCCTTGCTGCATTTTTGTGTGGTATGTGTATCAGGATAACTTTAGCTTCACAAAAAGTGTTTGTCAATGTTCCTTCTGTTTCTATTGTGTGGAGCTATTTGGAGAACATGAGTATTAGCTGTTTTTTGAAGCTTTGGTAGAATTCTGCACTAAAATTGTCTGGTCCTGGGCTTTTTGGGGGAGGGGACATTGGATGACTGTTTCTATTTCCTTAGAGGTTATAGGTCAATTTAAATTGTTTACCTGCTCTTGATTCAATTTTATTATTGGTACCTATCCAGAAAATTTTCCATTACTTGTAGATTTTCCAATTTTGTGGAGTACATTTTTTTGAAGTATGACCTGATGATTCTCTGGAGTTCTCCATCTCTGTTGGTGTGCCCACCCTTTTCACTTGTGATGTTTCTTTGGATTTTGCTCCCCTTTTGGTTAGTTTGTATAAGAGCATGTCTATCTTGCTGATTTTCACAAAGAAACAACTTTTTGTTTCATTGATTCTTTCTATTATTCTTTGTTTATTTAGTAAATTTCAGCCCTCCGTTTGATTAGTTCCTGCCTTCTACTCCTTCTTGGTAAGTCTGCTTCTTTTGGATCTACAGCATTGAGATGTGTTATTAAGAAGCTGCTAGTGTGAGACTCCTCCAAATTCTTTATGGAGGCCCTTAGTGCTGTGAACTGTCCTCTCAACTCTGCTTTCAAGGTGTCACAGAAGTTTGGTTAGGTTGTGCCTGCATTTCCATTGATTTCTATGAATTGTTTAATTTCTTTGTTTCTTCCTTGACCCAGTGGTTATCCAATAGAGAAATGTCTGTTTCCATGACTTGGTAGGCATTCTGTTATCTGTGGTGGTGTTGAATTCTACCTTTAAGTCATATTGATCCAACAAGATATAGGCTGTTTTTCCATTTTTTTTGTATGTGTGGAGTATGTGGCCAATTTTAGAAAAGATTCTATGAGATGCTGAGTAGTAGGTATACTCTTTTGTGTTTGAACAAACTGTTCTCTAGATATATGTTAAACCTACTTGAGGCATAGTATCTGTTAATTCCCTTATTTATCTGTTAAGTTTCTTTCTGGCAGACCTGTTTATTTTTGGCAGTGGGGAGTTGAATTCTCCCACTATTAATGGGTGGGGTTTGATGTGCAATTTAAACTTTACTGCTATTTCTTTTGCAAATATGGCTGGCTTTGTATTTAGGCCATAAATGTTGAGAATTGAAACTTCATTTTGATGGATTTTCCTGTAATCAACATGAAATATCTTTCTCCATCTCTTTGGTTAATTTTGGCTGGAAGTGTGTTTTGTTGGACATAAGGGAACTACACTAGGTTGCCTCTTAGCTCCATTTGATTGGAAAATCTTTTCACAACCCTTTACTCTGTAAAGTCTGTCTTTGACATTGAAGCATGATTCTTGTGTGTGACAGGATGGGTCCTGTTTTCATATCCATTCTGTTTGCCTGTGTCATTTTATAGGCAAATTGAGTCCATTGATATTAAAAGATATTAATGACCAGTGATTGTTAATTCTTGTTATATTTTTTGTTAGAGAGAGAGAGAGAGAGAGGTGTGTGTGAGGGGGTGTATGGGTGTGTTTTTCTCTTCTTTTGTATTTGCTGGTGTGAGATTATCTGTTGCCTGTGTTTTCCTGGGTGCAGCAAACCTCCTGGCGTTACAGTTTTCTTTTTAGTACATTCTTTAAGTCTGGATTTTTTTGATAAGTATTGTTTAGATCTTCTTTTGTCACGGAATATATTGAATCTTCCATCTATGAATACTGAAAGTTTTGCCAGACTCAGTAGTCTGGGCTTAGTGTCTGCAATGTGTCTGTCCAGGTCCTTCTGTCTTTAGTTTCCATTGAGAAGGCAGGTGTGATTCTGATTGGTCTACATTTATATGTTAATGACCTCCTTCCTTTTCAGCTCTTAATATTTCCTTATTCTGTCTTTTTAGTGCTTTGATTATTATGTATTGTGAGGACTTTTGGGTTTTTTGGTCTAGTTCATTTGATCTTCTGTGAGCTTCTTATACCTTCACCTGCATGACATTCTTTAGTTTTGGAAAGTCTTCTTCTCTGATTTTGTTGAATGTACTTTTTTGCCTTTGATGGAGTTTTTCTCCTGTTTCTATCCATATAATTCTTAACTTTCACCTTTCATGGTGTCCAAGATTTCCTGGATGTTTTGTGTTACGAATTTCTGCAATCTAACATTTCCTTGACAGATGATTCTCTTTCTTCTGTCGTATCTTCAATGCTTGAGATTCTTCTGTCTCATGTATTTTGCTGGCTATGCTTAAATTTGTGGTTCCTGGTGGTTTACCCTGATTTGCCATCTGCCGAATTCCCTCAGTTTGTGTTTTCGTTGTTGCCACGATTTCAATGGGCAAGTCCTCAACTTCACCTCTTTGATTTCTTTTTCTTGGTCTGTAAGTCCTTTTCTCAATCTCTTTAAGGGAATTTTTCATTTCCTCTTTAAAGGCCTCTGTCATCTTCATAAAGTGATTTTTCGAGGTCATTTTCTTCTGCTTCATCATCATTGGTATGTTCAGTTCTTTCTGTTGTCGCAGCACTTGGTTCTGGTTGTGCCATATTTCTCTCTATATTATTGAATGTAGTCTTATGCTGTGTTTACCCAGCGGTGCTGATTCTTGGGATGTCTTTGTTGGATGGATCTTTTGTTCCTTTACTGTCCAACTTTTGTTCTGAATGGTCAAGGGTTCTAGATACTTCTTGTTTTAGAGGTCTAGTAGGATTGTCTTAGCTGATGTTTGTGGGTGTCTGGGTACTTAACCACAGCTTATCCTTCAGTTCTTCTGACTGGTGTGAGCGTTACTTGTTCCTATGTGATCTGTTCTTCCAGCTGTTGTTGTATGGTTTGCCTCTGCCTATTCTTCAACTGGTGTGGGTGGTGCTTATGTCTATAGTGTCTGCTAATGTTGCTAGAGAGCACTGTTCATGTGGAGAAAGCTGGGGTAGGTGGGA